AATACATTAATAAATTTAATACAGTATTTAATATATTAAATTTAATTTAATCAAATTTATTTTTTAAATGTATTATTAAATTAAATTTAATCAAATTACTGAAAAAAAATTAAGTTATTCAGAATAAATATCTTCTGTAAGTAAGTGTATAATATTCGAGAATATCGAGAGAAATATTGGACGATTATTTTGTCCAGTACAAATCGCGTATAAATATGTATTATGAATTTTTAATATTTTACGTTAGAATTATAAGAAAACATTTTATAATTAGGACATTATTCTCATTTATATTTTTTTTATATTTTCTCGATGCATTTTCGACATCTATAAACGCGTTTATAATAGAAAATAACATTCGAATAATTCCCGTTGTAACAATTATATTTGATTCACGGAACACAAACTCGGAATTCCGGAATCGATCACGTGCGAAATCAAGTTTAGTGCGGGACGTTTGTGATGCGTAAAGATTTAATCGTGATTGTAAAAGCTTTAAGTTGTTGAGAATAAATATCGTCTGCAAGCAAATGTGTATCGGAAAAATGCCGAGAAAAATATCGGACGATTGTCGTATTATTCGCGTAATACGGTGTATCACGTCAATAGTACGAACGTGCGACAATTTTATTCAAATGGATTTTACGCGATAGTGACTCCAAGTATTGTTAAACGTATTAATAAAATTATTCAGAATAAATATCGCTCGTAAGAAAATCTGTAGTATCGGAAAAATGCCGAGAAAAGTCGAACGATTGTCGTATTATGATAGTATATTGCGTGGGTGGTGCGAATGTGCGACAATTCCATCAAATAAACTCCGCGCGACCGTAACTCCAAACATCGTTGAACAGATTAATCAAATTACTGAGAGAAATTAAGTTACTCAGAGTAAATATCTTTTTTGTAAATAAGTCTATAGTACTCGAGAATATCGGGAAAAATATTGGACGACTATTTTGTCCGGTACAAATCGCGTATAAATGTATGTATTATGAATTTTTAATATTTTACGTTAGGATTATAAGAAAACATTTCTATAATTAAGACATTATTCTTATTTATATTTTTTTAATGCTTTCTTGACGCATTTTCCATATTTATAAACATAAAGAGATTTAAGTAAACACAAAAAAGACATATATATATATATATAGTCTTTTATGAAAATTGATTATCGCAGATTTATAACTGATAGCGGAAGGAATAAATAAACTATTATAATCGGTTTATCTTTCTGGTTTTTCGCGTTTAGTATTTTGAAATTGTTTAACAATTATTTTTTATACTAATAGAGACGTTATATATTTTTCTCTACAACAAATCATATCAGAAATAAAAGTATCAATGATACATTCTTCCAATTATCGAAAACGATATTTTTATTATTCTGTGACGTATTTATGATAGTTCGCAAAATATCAATTTTTTATATTATACATTCTTCGGTAATTTAAAAAAAATTTGAAACATCGATGTTGAACGAGAAACTGATATTTTATAAAAAAAGACATCTTTACTTTCTTTAATGTTCGAACTGCATACATCGATATTTTTCTTCTATTAATATTTATGTAGACGTATAAGACGTCGATATATCGGCGACAGCCAATCTAAACTGTTACCGACGAGAAGTGTGGTTTAACGACATTCTCGTAGCCGCGGTCCGCTTCGATTTTAATTCTCGTACCGCACACACACACACACACACACACACACACGTATACATATACATACCATACACACAGACACAGCGTCGCGCCGGCCGGCTGGCGGAGAAGCTGTCGGAGAGATTGGACATGCGCGCGCAACCGGTAAAATCAACTACAAGGCAGTCGGCGCTGATCACTGAGCATGCCTGCTGCCCCTTCTCCTCCCCCTCTTCGCGCGCTTCTTCCCCCACTCCGCCGCCCTTGCCACTACTTGCGCTGCGCCGTAGGTAGCCGAGTCGGTCAATACTCCGGGCAACGCGGCGGTGAGAGCACGACGGTCGGTCGTCTGTGCACGCGCCGCTCACGTCGCACTTCACGTCGTTGAGAAACGTTTTCTCTCCGCTTCGCGCGTCCTCTCCCTTTTTCGTGTCGCCCGTGTAATCTCGCCGTCGTGCTTTATTTCATCATCATCGTCGTCGTCGTGACGTTTCGACTTTCTGTGCATTCCGCTTGTCTGTTTCCATCGCGGACGCCGGTAGTGCTTTAACGTTTCATCTCCGTGTGCACCCGTCACCGTGAACATAGCAGCGAACGCAAGCGAGGTAACGTAAGTACGTATACATATACACATATATGTACACACGCGGACGACAGGAGTGCGTAACACGGTGCATATCTACGCACGCGTAGAGACGCGCACGTCTCCGCAAGGAGGAGCGCGCGAGGGGGCGGCCGCCGAGTAGCGTCGTCGTCGTCGTCCTCGACGTCCTTATCGGTTCGTTTGCTCTTATTCGCTCGTTAGTGTGCGGGACACCTGCGTGTGGGAACGTTCGCGAGTACGATGTGAGAGAGAGAGCGAGAGAAAGAGAGAGAGCGCGCGACAGGACGACTCCCGTCGAGAGACAGCATAGTGAAGTTGGCGCAGGACGACTCGCCCGCGAATTCGAAAGGATTTTTCGGTGAATTCGCGCGATCGGTGGGCGCGCTTGCAAACGCGAAGCAGGAAGAGGAGAAGGAGGAGGAAGAGGAGTGCGGTATCCCAAGTGACAAGATAAGCTATGCGTCTCGGTGCGTGATGGACAGGAGGCGAGCCTTCCCAACCAGCAACGGCGTCGGCGGCTTCTTCACGATCGCCAGACTCATGGATACGTGGATATTCTTCTTGTTCGTCGCCATTGCCGGTGAGTACTTTTCTCGGCTTCATATTCATACGCACGTACGCCGTCTTTTCTTTCTACCCGCGAAGATTAATTCCGTGTGAAGTTGATCCCCTCTCTCTCTTTTTTCACGTTACGTGTTACGTCCAGCATATCAAAAAACTTAACGTATTTGAAAATTCTTCGACGTTTACGTGTTTATCTCGGTCGGATAATGATAATAAAATATAATGTATGAAGGAGAAAGAGAGAAAAAGAGAAAGAGAGAGAGAGAGAGAGGTTAAACACGTGTATGACTACATAAGTAGCTTTGATACGGACTTAATTTTCGTGCTAGACACGGCGTCTACGCGATTGTTATTGTATTACATATAAAAGGTCTGCGCCAAGTATGTTTATGTTTTTATGTGTGTCGTACGGTTATGTTTACGTGATGAATCACATCATAACAAAGAGAAAAAGAGAAAGAGAGAAATTTATTACAATTGCGAGTTATGTATAAAACATTTTTATTCAAATATGTTGCCTACATTTATGTGTAATAAATCACATTACATGTGTAAGAGAAATAAAGAAAGATAGATACTTATTATAATTTTTACATAAAAATATTTAAAAAAACGTTTTTTATATATATATGAGTGAATATTATTTGTGTCCGTTTCTTGGGCATTCTTGATCAATTTATTCCAATTAAATCGATATTATTTGAACCCGCATATATATATATATATATAAGTGATACATTTATCAAAATTTGACTATTACACATTTCTGTATTTTTTTAAAATAATGAAATTATAATCGTAAATATATTTTAACAAAAGATTTGGTTCAGATCCTTTTCAACTAATATTTTCACAGTATGATTGTATCATAATTATATAAATAAAATTAGCTGATGCTAAAACATCATCATACATTAAAGTACATATAAAAAATAAGAATCTTTTGTTCGAATAAAATTTTAGAAATTTGGGGCACACATATTGCGTAATCTAAGAATTTTTTTCCTCGGACTTAATATTTTTACTTATTATTAATAATAATAAATTTATTCACTGATTACGTTCTCTCTTTCTCCTTCTCTTTCTTAAAACGTATAAAACTATCGATTTGCTATAATCATAATCTTAAGCGACTTTTTTCCATAATGAACGATATCAACAAGTATCATTAACACGTAATACTGTAGAAGAAAGGATCTCTTTTTTGTGCGACGTTCAATCGTTGCCCTCGGGCGTTACTCGTCTTTGCTCGTAGACCACAACGTGTCAAATATCTATTATCACTTTATCTGTAGTCAAGTAAAATCCGCGTAATTCGAGCTACGACAGTAATGGCAATAATTTTAGGGGTGATATTACCTGA